AAAAAAAAAGGAAAAAAAAAAAAAAAAGGTCTTCGAAGCGACGATCGAAAATGGCACGTGCAAATGAAGATGAGATGTGTGAATGTGCATCAAGCACTGCATGGACCGTCAGGTTAGGAAAGAGAGCAATCACACACTGCAAATATACGAAACATCCGTCCCGAATCGAAGACATGTAGAAAAAAAGGTGCGCTTCTAGCGCGTTATGAATGTACATGACGCATGCTGCACCAACAAGGAAACGTGAAACAACATCGCGGAAACCTAACTCTAATATGCTCCTACAATCTACTGCAGACAACGCCTCGCACCGTCGCATGAACACTACGAACTGCCAAACTAAATGAACAAGCAAGGACACCGACGAGCGAAGTTGCATCTACCACCCTGCCAGAGTGGACAGCCGAAAACGAAGGGCGTCTACACGCACGACAGACACGCTGTGCTCGTGCGGAACGGAGGGAGAGACCAACAACAATCTGTGTCGCGACGCGCCACCACCTAAACTGCAGCTCTTGGTCCCGCGGGCACCACAACCTGTGTACTTCCCTAACCCGCGGCAGCACATGCGACCTGTTCACCAACCCTTTCCCACCGTCCACGTGCCATCACGAGCGACAAGCAAACCAAGGCAATCTAGCACAACACCACCCCTCCACCCCCTACGCGTTGTTTTCTCCATTGTCGGCCTTCCTGGGAGATCTCCTTCTGCGAGACGCGACCGGGACGAGGCCGACGAGACACACGTGGTAGAAGACAACGGTGAGAAGCAGCAAGACGACGAGGAACAGCAGGGGAAGCCTGTGCAGCAGGGCGGCCATGTAAGGGCCGTTCGAAGGGGATGAAACCGACGTCGGCGGTGGACCGTTCAACGAACAAGGTCGTCGAGACAAGGAAGATCGGTGGAAGATCTGTGCTCGAACGTGCGAGGCGTGACGGCAGTGGAAGAAAACGACGATCCTGTCGAATGACTGTCGTCGCCGAACGGGGAGCCGTGTACAAAAACTTTCAAATTTCGGACCGTTGTCGACGATCGCCCGCCGGAGCAGACCGCACGACGGCGGTGGCCGTTGAGTCGCGCGGACGGACGGAGGCCTCGTGCCGCCGGTTACCGTTTGGAGCCGTTGGGACGACGAGCAGACTTTCGAGGCGGAGATGTCCGTGCTCCCTTTCGGCGGACCATGTCTGGACCACCCTCCAACCGAAATTGTGCGTCGACGCATGCCTTCGTCGCTCCGAATTTCGCGCTTCCTTGTGTTACGAGGGACCTCGGGAGGTCCCTTGGGGCTTAGGGAAAATTGGCTGTGGCCACAAGGACGCCACAAGGAAATGTCCTTGTGGTGTTTTCACTTTTTTTTTCGACGATCGTCCCCAAGGATAGGTGTAACGATCATTTCCTTGTGGATTTCGGGTCCACAAGGAGTGTCTAACGAGGCCCTTAGTCATTCTGCCATACACAGATATCCCCTTTACTGTAAGCCTTTCTGCCCATTCCTCTGCTTTGATATGCTGTAGGTCATCCCATTTTGCGAGCAGTTTGGCTCTCTCCGGACCCCACACAGAGGCTGATACGGGGTGGAGCTGCATGCGCTCCTCCACCCATTCGAGATTTTTAACAATGTCTGCTTCCTCTTTGGAATATATATATATATATATATTTTGTTCAACAATCATTATATTTCAAAACAAATTCACTTGAGGCCGGGGACCTCACAATTCAACCCGGAGTTGGAAAACCTTCACAATCTTCTCTCCAGAATGCATAAAAAGATACAACATTACCCTCCTTGCTATTCTATTTAACTACTTACTATCATCTGACCCAAATATCTGCAGTCCTATCTACTTTATCCTACCCAAGCCTATCCTAATTCTAATACACAGACCTACAAACGGTCTGGTCCTTGGCCCAAAACGGTCGACAGGAAACATGTCCTTTTATAGTTGCCTGGCACTCTCCTACCCTCCCCACCATTGCGTCCTACTACGGCCGCCGACTGGAACCGAGTGCACCTGGTTCTTAATCATAAAGTTCCACAAGGCCGAAACTCCTCACAAGCCAATAAACAATGTCTCCTACTCCAATCTACTGTTCCAGATTATCTATCTAACCAACTTGAGACTTCCAGTCTGCCCAGTGGGGATATGGATGCCAAACCACCACTTTGTGCCCATGTCTCACGAAACCACCGAAGTCCGGATTGACGATCACCCCGAAGAACTTTTCGAAACCAATCCGCCTTGATCTGGGTTTTCAGCAGATGGCGAAAAAATTTCTCTGCCTGTACCTCGTGGAGTGGTTCACCTTGGAATCTCCTGCCGTTTCTGTCTAGCCAGATTGTCCACAGCATGGCAAGCCGAGCCACTTGTGCAATGTACTTCCACCCCTTGGCTCCTGAAACATCTGGCGGTAATGCACCAAGAAGCACCCATCTCTTACCTGTCAGGTTTCTTTTACCTGAGAAAGCCACCCAATGACGTTCCCACCACTTCCACCATTTGTTGGAAGTTGGACAGTCCCACCACAAGTGTTGCATTGTTTCTGAGTCTGCAGCACATCTGTCACATTGGATGGAAATTTCCATCTGTCTGTCCTGCAGCCATTTAACAGTAGGAACAGCCAAATGGGACTGCAACCAGGCCAGAGATGCCAGTTTTTGAGAAGGCATCATTGTCAGTTGTTTCCATACAGAGGACAGCTCTTCCTCTGAGGGAGGTTCCACCTCGGGACAGGATCTGTGCCATCTGTTAGCGATTGTTACGCTAGCTTGGGGTAACTTCATCCGGATGTTTCGTACCAGCTCCGAAGAAAGGCTCTCTAGGTCCCAGACTGAGACTCCATTGCAAGTCCAACCCCACATTGCTGGATCAATCTTCATTTCTCTCACTGGTGTTGCATTCGCTACCACCATCAGCACGTCTGGCTGGCCTGGGGCATGTGGAGGGCAGCGTCTTATCCGAATCTCCTCCAAATTGCTCAGGCCATATCTCCATGTGATGCCAGAGATCACCACTTCAGGAAGACCTATGTGTAAGGGCACATATGATTCCAGCCAGCACTTACCTGAGCCGTCTCCAACCCATTCTTGTAGGCGAAAGACTCGTGATGCGTCCCCTGATTTCTCTTTGAACCACGTTCTCACTGGGTTAATGCCGTACGGGCCCAGCAGTGATACCCAGTCATTAGGTATAGCCTTCTTCACCTCTTCCAATCGGAGGTCTTGATATGACAGCTGGCCCAGTTTCTCCTTTATCAGCTCAGGCGGAATCCACGAGTTTGTCAGATCATCCCAGAGGTCTGCGATGGTGGAGATTCCTCGTTGAATCCACTTCATACCAAAGTGACCCGGACGGTTATCTGCAGCAAAGGGGGTACCATTGCTGTCGGTAATAAGTGGATTATCAAAGAGGTGTTGCCTCTTAACCTCCTCCTTTGTGATCGGCATCTTGACCATTGTAGGTTTAACCTTCTTCCAAGCTGAGATCACCCCTTTCCAAAAGACTACTCTTGTTAAGGAAGGAGTCATGGAACAGTGCTACCCAAACATCTGAAGGGTTGTTTAGTTCCCATTCCTCCGCCAAGATAATTTCTGCCATCATAATCCAATCTGTATCATTCTTCTTTTCCGCCACCCTTGCCACCCATTTACTCAGAAGAGTAAGATTCTGATCTTCAGGGTCATATAGGCCCAAGCCCCCTTCTTCTCGTGGCCGCTACTTCCCACGCTACTTTAGAGATGTAGCCTTGGTCCTCTCGTGCTTCTGGTTTCCACAGAAAACGTCGTGAGACGTCGTTGACTGCTCTGAACATTGCACCTGAAAATTTCCGCACCGTTCCTACATAGTTCAGCAGAGCAAATGCTGAAGTTCTGAGGACTACTGCCCGACCCACTAAAGAAAGATGACAGGCCTTTCCCCTCTTTGGAATATAATTGAATGTGTTCTTGTTAAAAAAAAAACAAAAAAAAAACGGTGTGTGCAGTCAGACAGCACAATGCACTTTATTTTTTTTAATTTTTTTTTTGCTTCCAGAAATCAGAAGAGGAAAAAGAAATACGATTCCTCTGATCCCCGCAAAATATGTAAGCCCGCGGCTGTCCAGGGGCCAATTCCCACTAGCAGCGTTGTGCTACCTCAACGCCTGAATCTGGACGGTTTTGTGGAGATGTGCAGAAATGGTGTTGAGTTTGCTGAACTGCACTTATCCACAA